ACGTGCAGAGCCAAACTTTCCCTTGCCCTGGATGAACAAGTCCCTTCTGAGGACGCAACCTGTTTGCCGGCGAGAAAGCTCAGTCCAGACCCTTCCCACTGCCTTCTCTAAGAGAAGGGGCAAGGTCTGCGAACCGAGAGAGAGCGGGCTAGCATAGAGTTTATGGGAACTCAATGGGATGAACCACACGGGAGACCTACAGGTAGGTCACCACAGAGGCGTTCCATCGACTGCTTCGGGACGAAATCAGGGAGAATGAAGGAGAGCAGAAGAAACCTGAGTGTGATCACAGGAGCCCCTACAATAGTTGTCTTCCAGGCATGAGAAGATGTGGTGGCTGCTCTCGAGGAGACCCCAGGCGCCTCTACCTTCTAACACACAGGGAAATGACAACAAATTCACTGGCAACCGCAAGCCCCAAGGTTCTGCCCTACCCTGTGGGTCGAAAGAACCCACAGGGAACAAGATGCTTTCTGTCCTCTTGGTCCATGGAGTACCTGGACGAGAGTGAGAAACTTCCTCGTCGTCGCCCGGAAGTTGGGACGCGCAACCACCGCACGCCCTGGCCCACGGCCCAAGTTGCACGTGGCGTAGGCTGTCAAGGGAGCCGTGGACCCCTCTGGACACAGCAGCTCAAATTCTTCTTCTTCTGATTCTTAACAAGGAAAGAGAACAAGGTGAGCGTCCAGAGGAGCTGGGAGTGGCACAGAGAGATCAAGAGAGGCCCCTGCCTTTCCTAAATGCCAGGCCGAGCGCCTTCCCTGCCCACACAAGGCGAAGGCAGCTGCATGCCCTCTTTCACAAAAGGTGGTCCTCTCTCGGAGGTGCTGCAGGAGAAGAGACTAGGTTTCTAATTTCCCCCCCTTTTGAAGAACCATCCTGTGCTGCAGAGCTTGGAAACTCCGACCTCCCTGTCAGAGCCTGGAAAGAAAAGGCTGGCTGGGAAATCCTGGGCACTGTAGCTCAGCAAAGTAACATTTCTCCTATATTGAAAAGGATGCCCAGTTCAAGCTGGATTAGGAGACAAGAGGCCCAAATCCTGCACACAGGGTGAACCGGAAACTACCTACAGCAGCTGTCCTTGGCTGTCTGTCTGCAGTGAACAGACACGCTTCTTTTACCCTAAAGGTGGCGCAGGACCGGCAAAGGGCGACAATCACTTGCACAATGGCCTGTAGGTGTGCAACACTTCACAGCCAGATTTTGGCCACAGGCTCTTCAGGAGGGCCTCAAAGGGATACACCTGGTCACTGAATTCTCCTCTCAGAGGAGATGGATTGTGCCAGAGGCCAGACTTTCCAGGATAGGGAAAAGAAGAGAGGACCAGTTGCCTTCTTCCCTGAATCAGGCCCAATGGCAGACTTCAGAGCTCCAGACCCCTATAGTGGGTTTCATGGAGTTCGTTACAGTCAATAGAAAGGAATCCAAAGGGCCTGATGGGCCCAGAACCTGGGATGTGGCTTGTAAATCGAGGATTATGCCTCAAGGTCTCCAGCCACGCTCTCTCTTTCCACAGGAAACCAACACTTGAGTCAGTGTTGCACATTTTGGCATCTCTCGCTCATCGGCTGCAAGGAGAAGGTCCCCGGCCAGGAGGCCTACCTGTGGCATTCAGGACTGCGAGATGATCCAGGAAAGCAACATCGGCCGCCCCACTCTTCAGGCACCTGCACAGAGAGTAAGATGGCATGAGGACGGAGAGCTGCCCTGCCACCCCCTGTGGACGGGGGCATCTGGCGCCGGCGGGAACAGGCAGGGGAGGGCGGCCCATGGAAAAGAAGACAAGGTCGGCAGTGAGTGGGGCATGGATTTCTGCTTATGTCCCCTGTCCTGAAACTAGCAAGGAGAGGGTTTATTCATTCCCTGGAGTCTGTGAAACGCAGGGCTGGGTAGCGGAGATGGGCCAGAGAGGAAGGAGCTCCTAATTAGGGAAACTAGCTGTGCCTCTGAAGGGTCTTCGCTGCAACTGGGAAGGCCCAAAGAAGGGGCTGAGAACCACTTCTTCTTGGTGTCTTCTGGTCCTCAAACCACGACCAACCTGCCATATCGAATCAGTTCATCTTGCAGAAGTTACTAATTAGGAGGTTTTGGGGGGGTAAAAACACAATCAGATTTGTGCAAAGGGGTTACCCATCCAGAGAGAGGATGGTGGAATATAAAGGGAAGCAGAAGGATGGTTCCTTTATGGCTTTGCTTCATTTCTTAATGTGAGATCTATGCCCGTTTTTTTCTGATGAACTCTGTGCATGCATTGGAACCATGCTGCTTTAGGAGCATAGATCTAGACAGCTAGCTTTATTATTTTCTGTGGGGCCTGACTCCTAACTGGCCGAGTCTGAATGTCTTTTTGTTTTGCTTTTTATGATGGAGCTGCTTTGCCTCCTTATTTTTTTCTTCCCCAGCCAGCCCTCCCTTGCCTACAGTCTGGCCCATCTGGTCCTGAGAGTTCGCGCAAGGCCACCTGAAGGATCCTTCCGAGCCGTAGAAAGGTTCACCACCACCGGTCTCACAGAAGTGGTTCTTGTCCCGGATGTAGGACTTCTGTCCTTGGCAAAGCACGCAGAGCTGAGGAGGCGAGGTTATGCCGACGCCAGGGATGCAGCTGGCATTGAAGTAGCCACCCACGGCTGGACAAAGAAGAAGTGGAGGAAAGGACTGATCTAATGAAACCGCCTGGACAGGAGAAAACCTCTCCAGCCAAGTCGCCAGAGCAACGGGGGGGGAGGGACATGGGTCTCCTTGGAATCCAGCCACGCTGCCTTCGGTAGAGCTGACCTCCAGGCAAGCGGGCACAAGGTCTGTGACCTCGCAACCAAAGAGCAAAGAGACGGGTAGGTGGCACCTCTTAAGACACAGCCCACTTCCTACACGATGCCCACTCTTGACCATGATAGCTGGGGGATCCTTGTCCTGAAAAACGAACTTTTCCAACCTCTGCCCAGAAGTAAATCCAACTGTGCAATTGCAGTTGGCGGCTGTATGGCTGTGAAACGCACCAGGGCCCTTTAGCACAACTCCCATGTTCAAAAAGTAACAATATTACCTGTAATGCAGAATGCTTTTGGGTAACCAGGAAACAACACGGTCCTTTTTACAAAGTAACATTATAAGGGGCCTAAAGCAACAAATGGCTTTTTGCCATTGCTGCTGATTTTTTTTCATGTTTACTCATTCAACATTTTTCGGGTAGTAGTTACAAGCAGTGTGTTTTTCTATCTACTTATTTTGAGAATCTTACAATAATCAAATAAATAAATATTTAATGTACACTGATGAATTAACCAAACAAATGCATAAGATCCAATTAGAAAATAATGAAATAATCGAGAGAGACACATGCCCCAGGTTTTCTTAACAATCTGACCTGGCGAATAGTTCTGGGGAGGCCGGCAGCTTGTGTATTTGGAGAATACTGTATATATTCGATCCTAATGAAGGCAAAGGCTCCCCCGTTAACAAAAAAGCAGGGCAAAAAGGGGGAGCCCCCCACCCCTCTGCAAAGCACCGCTCATTCGCTCACCGTGGCTGAGGGGCTGGTCTTCGCCCCACAAGAGGTTCTGGGTGACCAGGAGGAAGCCCAAGGGGATGTTCCAGCCGGAGGTCCACTTGGCCGCACTGTGGCAACTGCGGGCCCCCTTCAGCCTGCGGATGTCCAGGCTCCCTCGCCTGGCAACAGCCACGGCAAACACACAATTACCTGCAGATGGAAAGCCAACGGATGGAACCACATTGCGTCGACGGAGTCGCTCTGGAAGCCCAATGGGAAGCTTTATGCTTCGCTACCACCCGGGTGGATGGGGCAATTTTGCTGCGGAAGGGCATGGTGAGCCCACTTTTTAAGGCATGTCACGTCACCCGCGTAGGAGGAGCCACGAATGCCTGTCAAGTCCTGTGCTTCCAAACCTGCAGTTCTAAGAGTAGTCTATCTTGCCAAGGGAGTAACAGGATGACCTGCTCCAAGTAGGGCTTGTGGGTCTCCCTTCCCTTCCTCCCTGTTAGTGTTGACATAGGAAGGTGAGGATATAAAGACCCTTTGGGTGGCCAGGGAGGAGGGCAGAGGGCAGAACCTCTGCCAGGGGAAATAGGGCACATCACCCAGGTAGCACTCATTTAAAAAAAGGAACACTCCCAGCTCAGCCTCCCGCCCCCCCCGCCCCCCCGGTGTTTCCTTCTGCTACATTGCCTTATGCAACCCCCCTGTCAACCATCTATAGAAAAAAAAGTACCAAAGCACGAGAGGCTTCCTGGTCTCATCAGCACTCTAAGGCTCATGAGGTTCTGCCTGGCCCCAAACTGTCAAGCAGCACTACTTATTCCTGGCCTGAAAATAATTTTTTGGAACAGAGCTCCTTCTATCTTTTGAAATGTTTAACAGTTGCCAGTCTCTGTGAGAAGAGATCTAATTGTTGTCGGGTGTGTGAGTGTGTGGAGGAGTGGTGCTTCAGGGTGAGGGTGCTTAATCTACTTAATCACTTCCTAATGCAGGTTGATGTCCTTCAAAAATGGAATGATGTTATGAAATGGCATTGATTATATGCTTTTTGCCGCCTGATCTGAGAACGAAATAACCCACCTTCTGCATAGATTTCCTTTGCCACCACACTCAAGCCATAAAGCTTTACAGCCGAATAAACATCGCCAGCATCCAGGGAGGCAGCGTCTGCTTTGTTTGCCTAAAAGAAAAGAAACAAAGGTTCAAAACTGTGGGAGTGAGCGGCGCACAGGGAGAGTTTCAATGCAAGATCTCCTGACGCTGTCATCACTGTGACCAGCACCCGGCTTCTAATTACGGCCAGCTTTCCTCCCGTGATGGTGATGGAGTGATTTAATAAGCATGTAGCAATATCTGGGCTGTGAGCCTTCTTGCACGAAGCACAAACATCCGTTGCAGTAAGTACTGGAATTCCTCTTGGGACAAACACGTGTTCAGGTTGTTTATGGGAGCCAGAACGGCCCATGTTTTGTAACAGCCCCTCTCTGCTGCTCAGGAGAGGCTGGGCCACTTGCCCAAAAGGAGGTGGCAGAGTCCTTCTTTTGATGCTAGCCTTGCGGGACACTCCAGCCCTCATCTGCTCCTTCAGCCCAGCGAAACATGTCAGATGCCAAGGGAATGAATGGCTTACAGCCACAGAATGATCATGACTTCCTGGCACAATCCTGGGCACCCTTTGTGGGAGGGAGGGCTGTCTCATCCCATGTTTTGCACAGTGCTTGAAATGGGCACCCTTTGTGGGAGGGAGGGCTGTCCCATCCCATGTTTTGCACATTGCTTGAAAACCCTTCCTTCCTTTCCTTCCTTCCTTCCTTTCTTCCTCTCTCTCTTTCTCTCTCTCCCTTCCTTCTCTTTCTTCTTCCTTCCTTCTTTCCATCTTTCCTTCCTTCCTAACGAGACAGAGAGTGAGAGAGAGAGAGAGAGAGAGAGAGAGAGAGAGAGAGGAAGAGCCAGCGTTTGTCCATAGACAGTTTCTGTGGTCACGTGGCCAGCGCAACCAGACACAGAATGCCGTGACCTTTCCACCGTGGTGGTACCCATTTATCTACTCATATTTGCATGCTTTCAAACTGTTAGGTTGGCAGGAGCTGGGACAAGCGACGGGAGCTCACTCCATCACACGGATTCGATCTTACAACATTCCTGCAGTTTAACCCACAGCGCCACCACGTCCCAGGACTGCTGACATAAGTGAAGACCAAATTAAGGAGGGAGGGGAAGGGTTCGGTCCGCCCTTTACCCCGTGTGAAACCTCATCCCCTCTTAGGCCCCCTTCCTCTTCCCCAGCTGACCCAGGGTCCCTTTACCCCGTGTGAAACCTCATCCCCTCCTAGGCCCCCTTCCGCTGACCCAGGGTAAGAGCAGCCAGTCTATCACCACTCATCTTATACCACAGACCGGCACACCGAGGACTTGTGCCAAATGGACTTTGGAAAAGTGACTTTATTAAAATTTCATGTCCTAGAACTCTAGAATACTTGGGAGTTATCGTCCAAAAAGTAAATCTTCTCAGCTCTAGAAGTGCTTAAGTGGCAGATAAATCACACCCCACCTCGCACCCCTGCTGAACACAAAGGGTAGTAGGATCTGTGGCTGGGGGTAAGCTGTGAGGCTTCTCAAGACTTACTCGGATCTTGTCCATGCAGTCGTATGTGTGACGAGCCCTGATGCAGGAAACCCTGGCAAAGGCGTTGAGCGTGGCAGGAGGCAACACCGCCAGGAGGGCTCTGGACAGCTCGGAGCACTTCCTCTGCTCTGCATCAGAAAGAGTGCACCACCGGAACTTCTTCCCTGTAAGATCAGAGGGCAGGAGGCTGTGGAAAAGGGGCACATTTCAAACCCAGTCGCTTCCAAAGGAGTCCTGGAGAAAGCACAGGATTTCTCCAGAGGGCCAGGGAAGATCAAAGCCTGACACGCTGCAGAGGCCCTTTGGAAGAGCCACAGCACAACGCCCCATGCACGTGTCATCTGTGGGGAGAATGAAAAAAAGCAAGGCAAGGTGTTTTTAATCTCAAAACTCAGAAATTGTCCATTCAGAAAGCCGTGGCCTCCCTGGGCCACCTCTGCTGCGTCCCTCCGGACAGGTTGCTTACTTTGGTGGAACGGGCAGCAGGAAGGACTGCCCGGTATCCGTTGCCAGCTAGAATAGAGCCTAAATCTGATAAACCTAAACACGCTGGCCTGAGGATAAAGCCCCGTCGCACAGCTGGCTCCCAAGTAAACGGTTCAGGGGTGCTTGCCTCCCCTCCCCACGGTACTCTGGCGACCACTTGGAGAGCTCGGCCAGGCTAAGGGAGAGTGGTCAACCTAATGGGATTGAATAGGGACTTAAACCGAGCCCTCCTAAGCCTCAAAAGGCAACACCCTAACTCAGCCCCCCCACATCCTGCCTGTTTTGTCACTCTCCCCATTGCTTCTCCCTCGGTCGCTTCCCCCTCTTTCTCTTGGCTACCCGCCGTGTGGCTCTCTGTAAGCTCCCTCGGTAAGTTCATCAAGCCAGAGAGCTAGACTTGAAAAAGTGCCAAAAATGAGGCCGTGCTGGTAGGCATGCCATTCAGATCTCTCCCTGGCATGAGAGCTACCCCTGTGATGAACCACAGGAAACCTAGGAGTCGGTGGGGGCCACTGGGGAAGAGCTACACCCTGGCTGGCCTTTTTGTGAAACTAGGCTTCCCGGCTGCGCCATTGGTTTCAGAGTCCCAGGCTGATTTTCGCCTCCCTTGGTGACGCTCCCTCTTACCTGAGGACAGAAGAGCAAACCTCATCAGGACAAGGAGGGTGGCCACCTTCATGATGGCAGAGGTGCCCAGGGCGAGTCCTCTCTCCCCATGGAGGGCCCCCCACGCCTGGCTCGTCCCAGGGATTCCAAAGAAATGACTGGGGGAGAAAGAGTGGAGGAGGCTCTGCTTTAAATTATGGGCACAGAGGAGGGGGAAGCCAAAAATGAGATAGCACAAAAAGAGCACCTCGGCCAGAAGCCAAGAAGGCTGGGGCGGAGGAAGAAGGGGCCTCTTCCCGATCTAGGAAACATAAGTAGTCTGGCCTGATCCTGTGCAGGAGCCATAAAGGGCTTCCCACCACACTTTGGGCTCTTCCCTTCCCACAGAAACGATCTGTTCTAGCCAGATCTTTTTGGAGCACAAACGCCTCAGGTCCTACTCAGCCAAAAAAGTTACTCAAGTGATTTTTAAATCTTATTTTCAAATCAGCAGTGTCAGGCATTGGCGGGGGGGGGGCATTCAAAATCCCCAAAGGCCAGAACACAACTAGACGAGGAGTAATTAGGTTTATTGACCCTGGCCCAAGACGGCCACTGGCTTTTACAAGGCCAGTGTTTGCAAATCCAGAGCTGAGAGAGGTTTCTTTTTCAGACAACAGCTTCCAGAATCCTTAGACAACAGATTACAGCTATGCTGGCTGGGAGAATTCTGGGAATTATAGTACTAAAAGGAAACATTTCTGACCTACTGGGAAATTTGTTCCACTTTAGGATATTTGGTGAGGAGGAAACATAAGCCGGGTGTTCACATCAGGGCAGCCTCCAGCCCTGAAGGCAGTCAGACAGGCCTTTTGCATTGGAGTGAGAGAAAAAACATCCCATACAGTGACAGCAGGGGACCTGGGGCCTTCTGGATGCCCCCCCTCCCGTGGTAGGAGTCACAGGAGAACAACATCTGGAGAGCCACAGATTCCCCAGCCCTGAAATATGGACTCGAGCAGAAGAGGTATTCCAGATTCTCCACCGATACGAGGAAAGGACTAAGGCCTCTAGGACTGGCCACACCCACCCCCACACACCCGCACCCGCACCCGCACCCCCACACAAAAAAGCCACCTGGCACCTCGCTTCCAACTTAATTGCACCCTGGCAGCACTTTAATGAACTTTGCATGCCAAGTGCTTTTGTGGAATGCAGTGTCTCTTCTCAAGGGCCTTTTCCACGATGTTCCCTTCAGAGCTGGTTCCTGGGTCCTTCCTATGAGAGTCTGCACTCAGCTCTCACCAGCTAGCTTTGGGGTATCTGACTTTGAGGTGCTTTCTACCAATATGCGTTTCTACTTTTGCAAGCTGCACTGTTTCTCCCGACCTGAGGTTGCCCCCACTTCTTCTACAGGGATGGTTTGAAGCTTGGAAAAAAATCACTTCCTAAAATCCACACTCTAACCTAAAATGTAAAGTTTCCAAGTTCTGCCACTGCTTTGGTTATGTTAGGAGCAGCTTCCACCTCTGAACATTGAAGCCAAAGGAAGCCACCAAAGACCAGCAACAAAACATGGCAGTACAAAGTGCTTCTACCCATAACTGGCTTGTGTGAAGGACAAGCACTCTATTTAAATCAAACCCTGCCCTGCAAGTTTTCTCCCATCAGTCAGTATTCTACAGCCACTCAATAGACTGAGTGCCCACTGTTGTAATTTTGGAAGAGGTAGCCGAGTTAGTCTGTGCAAGCGTTATCAGGCAAAATCCAAAGGGACGAGACAAGACAAAAACATGTGGCACTTAAAAGACTATTATATTGTAATGTGCGCTTTTGTGGACGCGCCCCGCTTCGTCAGACATATGGAAACAGAATGAAGTGCTGAATGAAATATCCGTTTCATATTAAATATTCATTGGCTCTTGGGTGTATGGCACATTTACATGCACTAATTATTGGCTTAAGTTGTTTTAGGGCTCCGTTATAAAAATTCCTCAGGAGACAGAAAACAGACACCAGGCCTGGGCAAAGTACTCACTGTGACGCTTCTAGGGTCTTCCCACAAGCCAAGGTTTCTCCACTCTGAAGATTTATTTTATCTTTTGCAGACCTTGGAGGTTTTTGTGTGTGTGCATGCGCTTCTGTTCACACTTTATTCTTCTGTTACAATTTCCAGAGCAGAAGCTGTGTCAATCCGTTGCAGGAAAAACAACAGAGCTCTAGGGCATCATAAAGATGGGTTTGCGGATTTCACTGTCCCTCTGACGCATCATGAAGTGGCATCTCGTACGGGCAGATTTCTCTCAAAGGGAACAGACATGTGGAAGGGACAGAGAGTGATGGTGGCTGTTCATTAAACACTGCCATCTCTGTATTATGGACTCTACTTCTTGCATGGATGAGCTGATCAGACCACATTGTGTTAGAGTGAAGCAACTAATAACCCATTAGCTTCATCATAAGCCCATGGATAGAAACCCTTGCTTTGTTTAAGCCTAGTGACTCAGAAGACACTTTGAGACCCCCTTTTCGGGTCACGACCCACAGGATGGGAACCTGTGCTATGTAGACCATCTTGATTGCTGCCATTGGTGTCGTCAACATTCAGGCTACCTTTTGCTACACAGAACTTGGCATCCCTTTTCCTGTGGCAACGCCCTGTGCTATGTAGACCATCTTGATTGCTGACACTGGTGCCGTCAACATTCAGGCTACCTTTTGCTACGCAGAACTTGGCATCCTTTTTCCTGTGGCAATGTGAGCATTTATTTATATTATTTATTTATTTAAAATACTTCTATCCCACTTTCCTTCCCATAAGGACCCAAGGTGGCTTACATCATTAAAACAGGATTTAAAAGCTAAAAACAGCAAACATACAAATATTAATAAAGAATGAAACAAATATATTAAAACAGATTTAGAAGCAAGAAAATATAAACCTCCCTGCTTCCTGTCTTTTAGATCCTGCCAGTGCAGCAACATTGGGCTACTTCCTGGCATTCCGCATCGTGGATCTAGAAGCACAATATCCTACATTTATAAACCAGAGGATGTTTCTTTTTTTTTTAAATAACTGAATTTTTAATTCTTGTTCCATGTTTTCCCCAAATTATGTTACTTCTGGATCTTCCATCTTGACATTTTTACAATTTGCATATCCTAGTCATCCATTATGCTTCATTTTCATTTAGCAAAGGAGTTGTCATGTTGCAGCGAAACTATGAAAGATTCCTGCTGCACCTCCACGGTGTACCAGTTTATTACAGGGAGTGATCTTAATAGGGTTTCTGGGCACACTAAGACTTGTGGTGGTAGGATAAGCCAATTAATGCAGGTAATCTGATAATCTCCACACCCACTCTTAGATTATTAATGTAGCATAATTCAAAGTGCTGATTTTAACCCATAAAACCCAAAATGGCTTGGGTCCAAGTTATCTCAAGCACCGAGTCACCCGTTACCTGCCCAGGATATTAAGATCCTCAGTGGAGGCCTTTCTCTCTCACAGTTGTGACTGGTGGGGACACAGGGGAGGGGGAGAGGAGAGCCTTCTCTGTGGCTGTTCCTTTAGACTCTGGAACTCCTTCCCACTTGGAGGCCAGGCTGGCGTCATCTTTGCCGTCCTTCTGCAAGCAAGACTCTGGAACTCCTTCCCACTTGGAGGCCAGGCTGGCGCCATCTTTGCCATCCTTCCGCAAGCAAGCGAAGACTTCTCTCTTCAGACAGGCTCTTCCTTAGTGACTGACAGTCTCTAGGAGATAATAATTGAGGTGGCTTATATTTTCTTGCGTGTAAATCTATTTTTCCCCATGCTTTTACCTCACATTTCAAATACATTATCAATTCCTCCTTCCCACTTGGAGGCCAGGCTGGCGCCATCTTTGCCATCCTTCCGCAAGCAAGCGAAGACTTCTCTCTTCAGACAGGCTCTTCCTTAGTGACTGACAGTCTCTAGGAGATAATAATTGAGGTGGCTTATATTTTCTTGCGTGTAAATCTATTTTTCCCCATGCTTTTACCTCACATTTCAAATACATTATCAATTCTTTATTAAAGAAGAACGGGAGACTGTTCTACACGGCCTACACCCAATTTATTTATTTATTGTATTTATACCCCGCCTATCTAGTCATTTCCACCACTCTAGGCGGCTTACAACATATTTATTGTGTTTCGCTCTCAATATTGTTTTTAACGGCGTAAGTTGCCTTGGGTCTTGGCAGAAATGGGTCAATGGCCTTGCTGTCCAAACCCCACTTATCACCTGGAGGAAACACCCAGGCCACGGGCCACGGCCACTTTTCAAGGAGCGTCCTGGCGCAATGGTTATTTATTTATTTAAACTGCAGTACTGCAACCAGGTCTCTGCTCAGGACCCGAGTTCCATCCCAACAGGCTCAGGTAAAATGCCCCCCCCCCCCGTGGGCAGGGGGGGGAAGGGGGCGCCTGCAAAACCGAATTTAAGCCGCCTCAAACATTTAAACGCTACAGGGCGGAAGAGGAGCGGCCTACTTGGCTTTCTCCTGCTGAGGCACCCTCCATGTAGACTATGTCTAGATGGGCGTCATATAAATAAATAAATAAATAAATAAATAAATAAATAAATAAATAAATAAATAAAATGTCCCAAAGTGGTGGGGGCTTCTGCTGGCCAGAGAGGTTACTGGAAATACACATAAATAAACGGATGAATACTGTAAATAAGGAGGCCAGGGCTTC